ATATATATATAAATATATATATAATATATATATTTATGTCTAGAATTTGTTTTATTTTACAATGAATTAATAAAGAATTTAAATACCTTGACGCTTTCTTTCAAGATAAAAAAAACTAAAAGCAACATTTTAATATTTGACATTTTTCTCCATTTTTTTATAGTTAAATTTTTTTAATTTTAGACAATTTTTAAATATGTATTTTTTTTAGTATTGTTTCCTTGATTTAGTTTATATGTGGCTTATGGAGTTCAGCAAGTTAAAGGCGAGATGCAATTCTTGTTTGTTAATATTTTAAATATGTAAAAAAACATTCATACAAATGCATGTATGTATGTCAGTAGAAACTAAAAGTGGTACGTGTGAAAGTGATATAAACGCCAAAAGCGTGCATTTCGAATGCAGCAAAAAAAATTTGCTAATATCAAAACAAGATAAATTTCGGTAAAAACGAAAAGAAAAATTACATGAAACAAAAACATATGAAAAAAGAAAATATAATAAAAAATAAACTAGATTATAAATGAAATGAAAAGATATAAAATAAAATAAAATAAAATAAAATAAAATAAAATAAAATAAAATGAAGTAAAAATAAAATAGAAAAAATAAATAAATTAAAATAAAGAAAACAAAATAAAATAAAACAAAAAAAAAAATACAATAAAATGAAATTAAGTTAAATAAAGTTAAATAAAATAAAATAAAATAAAATAGAAAATAAATTTAAATAAATTTAAAAAAAAGTAAAATAAAATAAAGTAAAATGAAATGAAATTAAATAATTTAAATTAAAATAAGATAAAATTATATTAAAAAAAAATTAAAAAAATCAAATCAAATAAGTCCATATAAAAGAAAAAAACAAAAAAATAAAAATAGATAAAAATAAGGAAAGAAAATAAACAATATTAAATAGAAAACATAATAAAATAAATTTTAAAATACATTTATATAAATGAAATAATATAAGCAATAAAAAATGTACTATATATGAAATAAATTAAAATAAAATTAAATTAAATTAAATAAACACAATAAAATAAAGAGAAGCAAAACAAAATTTTATTATTAAAATTAAATCCAAAGAAGAATTAAATTACGAATAAACTTAAAAACAATAAAATAAATTTAAAATATAAATTAAGTGAAAAAGAATTTGGAATTATTAAAATAAGTTTATTTAAAACATAATAGAATACAAAAAAAAATGCTATTAAAATGAAATAAACGTTAAACGAAAATAAAGTGATTTAGCCAATTAGTGCAAGTTTTTGATATCAAAAATTCAGAACAGAAAAAATATATGTACATTAAAAAAGTTTAAAACTTTTTTGAATAAAGAAATACTTTTTTAATAAAAAATTAAATAAATGGTAAAAAAGTAATTTTTAATTTTTTTTTTCAAAATATTGGTCTGATGAGAAATTTTCTAAAAAAGAGTTTGAGATCTTTAATATATATTTTAGTATGATAGAGCTATTAGTTATATAGAATTTTCATCTTATAATTCAGCTAAATCTCTTTATTTATTTCTATTTATAGATTTATACTTGTAGGCGATAAATCTAAGTACAAAAATTGCGAAATTTCATTCAAAAGCTTATGTTGTTGTATATTTATATATGTAAATACTTGTAATTAAATATTATTAAATTTAAAAACGGCATTTTTAAATAGTAGTAGGAAAAAAGTTGAGTAGTTTCACTATATTCATAAAAGGCATTAGAGCTGGAGCAGCACAGCGGAGAGGTTTAAGTAATATATATTTAATCTTTTTTTTTTTAATAATTGTATAACTCATTTACAGCCATATGTACAGTAAAATAGAAGCTAAATAGAATTTTATAAAATTTATTGCATTTAGTTTCTCATTGCTTGACTATGACTTCGTGTTAAAGATACGCTTTTCTGGGCTGCAAAAAGTGATAGCTCAGTAAAAGTATTAAATAAATCATTCAAATGTTAAAAACAAATATATAATATTAAAAAAAAAATAAAATAAAATATTTTGTATCTTTATAAAAATATCGAAAACATACGTTTTAGTCAAAACTAAGGCAAAATGCAATTAAAAATTAATTCTAATCTGTTTTTGGTGTTTCATTTTCCTTGTATAAGTGTTGTTAGTATAAATGCATTGCTATGGAGTCATTTAAAAAAGGGAGTTTTAAAATACAGTCTTGAATTTTTTTCACTGTTCAAAGTTCTATTTCCTATTTTATATGGTATAAAATCTGTATTTTCAAAAATGAATTCAGTAAGTCTCTATGTCCCTTATTTATATACTACGTTAGGTACCAAATTGGGTTACAGGGGAGGAGAAGAAATACGCAATCATCGCGCATATGGATCATATCCTCAAGGATAGAAAAGTTGTGGCATAAAATTAGGCTACAAATGGCAGAATTTGCTCTCTTCGCTAGGAGATATACAATTGCGAATCTCCGTTGCTCTCAGAAAAAGAGACAAAAATACCGGAAATTCTATGTAGAAAATACAGAAGATTTCATGGCAACAGAAGAATGCTTATACCTCTCCATACCAAAGAAAAATAATTATAACATGAAGATTACATATAGGAACTAGTTGGAAAGGCTGCGATTTATTCAGTAGGTCACACAAGACTGTCATATGTCAAGGTTTATGGGTATCTTGCCCACCGTCAACAATCTGATTAGACCTTTTCAGCGTGACTTTAGACGTGGTATTCCCGGTATGGACCAAATATTCAACTTGTACCAAAAGTGCAAAGAGGATCGATACTCACCACCTCTTCGTTAAGCAGTCAAGCACCTTTCGATTGCAATAAAAGGAGCTGCCTCTACGCCGCTATGCCTGAATTCGGTATACAAGTATAAAAGACCTCTCCGAGCCGTTCGAAGCCAAAGGAAGTTTAAGAGAAGCTGAGCTACAGAGCTGAATAAACAGGTACAAGCTTCGATAAAAGTGTTCACCTTGCTGGCCTCAACAACCTTGCCGTGAGTTCTGCTTTGTACGGACTGGATAAGGAAGCGAACCATTGTCGTCGTATTCACGACTCGGCACCCACGTCACTGTTGAAAGCAATCACTTTAAAGCCATAGATAACTTCAACAGATGCTACGTTGGAGCTGATAAATGGAAAGAAAATTCCCTCCCGACGCACGAAAACGTCGCTCATCGTTGCCGTCCTATTATATGGTACGGGGGCTTGGACGACGAAAAGATTTGATAGTCTTAGGAGCTTTCGAGATGGGTAAAATTTATAGACCTCGTTGAGTTGGGAACGGCGAAAACCGCAGTTAAGGAACGATATGCTGTACGAGATATTTGGTGACGTTGACATAGTTTAGGAGATAAAGACACAACGGTTGCGCTGGCTAAGTCATGTGTCCGGATGGATGAAAACGCTCCAATTTGAACAATTTTATTCGATGTTTGTTAGATGCATTACCCCCCGGTGGAAGCAGAGGAAGAAGAAGATCTTCACTCCGTTGAGAAGACTAGGTAGAGAAAAATGTGGCTGTACCTGGCATTTCCACTTTGGGCAAAGTTGAGGTACCTACGCCAGTAAAGAGAAAAGGGATCTCTTGACGACTTTTATCTTTATTTTTCAAATAGCCAGGAGCACGAAGAGTCTTCAACGATAGAATCGAAATTGGAAGAGATCGTAGCAAAACCAATCTTTTTACTGAGTATGGGTCATAATGAGAAGTAAAGAGATACAAACGACCTTGCAAAGACCGCAACGAAACGAATGAAGAGTTTCAGTCAGCCGCTCTCTATCTTCAAGCCGGTGAAGAGCGATGCTAATTCAATATGAAAGAGTCTCAATCAGTGCAATGTGACCGAAATAACTGTATGACATGGGACTCTCGATAAGAGAAGACAACTACAATTTTGTGTCTTCTCACTGAACGGTTTTCTCGAGAAACAGACACGTTAAGAGACTGGGAGTGATGGCACTTCACGACATCTGCGAGTAGATGAAGTACATAAATTCTTGGTAAATATTGCCAACTCTTCACACTGCTTTAATTATCTGGTGGGTGTTTTAGAAATATTCAATGGTAACAAAATATGTCTGTTTGTAAGCTGATTTCCAGTTATCACTTCAGTCGATTTTATGATATTTTAAGTTGCCCGTAAACTATTCTTGGTAACCAATTTCAAACTAAATCCTGTTGCCCTAAACAGGGTCAGGTCATCGAAAGGGTGACATCCCTTGGCTGGATAAAATCCAGGTCAACTCCGGTACTTGGAACCGGCTGTCTTGAGAGAGGGAGTACTCGACTTAAAGAACACCATCCAGCAACATGTATAACAACCGCTGGACAGAACGGCGTACAGACAGGCACTGAACGCCATTCACCAGGAGTCAGTCAACATCTTCAAAGATTCCCTTCAAGTGAATGGAGTGCTCGGAGCAAAACCACCACTCATCACAGACAACGAGCTCGAGCTGCCTCGAGAGACCCCCACGACCTTGGCACAACTTATGTCTTATATTAGTGATACCTGTACCTAAGCGGGTACAGGTGAAACCTGTACCTAAGCGGGGTAAGCGAACCGCTACAACAACAACAACAGCAACAACTCTTCTAAATCTATTGACGCACTAATTTACCCACTACTCCGGTGTTAGGTTTTTGGGAAAAACTAATTAAAAAGGAATCACTTCGCAGAATTTTGCAAAATTATATAAAATTTCTTTGGTATCTGCTGAGTGTATTGTAGTTGTAAGATAAGGTATTACGGATTTTCTAATGTAGGTATGTAAGTATGTATGTTATGTTCGTGTGAGTATTATTATTATTATTATTATTATTATTATTATTATTATTTTAATTATTATTAAAGTGCTCATCATTACTCATTCAAATTATTTAATGTTGTAAGTGTTTAAGCAAGAAAGTAATTAGTTAAAATTCAATGTCTTAATTAAATAAAATTGGCTTCTTTTTTTTGGTAATTTTTAAAGCTTCTGGTATTCGTTAATTACATACGTATGGACTCACCGATGGTCGCAAGCGCACACAGTGCTTTCCGAAAGCGGAAAACGGTCCCCACTTCTCTACTGGTGAATTACTCACATGTGATGCTTCCGTATTCGATGTATCCTGAGTACGATAAATGCCAATCGGTATTTCACAAGTGGTTGAACAGAGTTTCTGATATAAGCGGCCATAGGTGCGTATCCACATGTCGTCCTTGGTGATGCGCATCTAGATAATATTGAATTCGTATTATGGCTTTATCTATGTAGATATATACATGTGCACAATGAAATATTTACCGATGTGAGAAAACCACTGCCCGGTGCCTGATCGATGCCCAGCAACAAGCGCACGAACGTTATTACATAATCCTTGACAAAAGCCTGATAGAGCAGCGTATCCAACATCGAGGCGCTGAAGACGGCGCCGGCAGCGAAGGGTAGACGAAACATATAGGAAATGTGCGAGCCACGCTCTTTTTCGCGCTGTTTGGACGAGATGTAGAAGAAATGATTTTTAAAGTGTTTTTTTTTTCTATTTTGCGTTTGCTTTTATTATTTTATGAAACCCTACAACAAATATTTACGTTTCATACTCGTACCTTCTCCATTTTACTTAGGTGTAGTGCATATTTGTCGTGTGCGCGAAATTGCATGAAGCGCATATTAGAGCTCTGCGATAGCTCGGTTATGCTTTTGATGCTTGGAAAGAATCTGATGAATGTATGTAAGTAAAAGTTTAGTATAGTTTTTAATAAATTTAGTTATTAAATTTTTAATTATTTTATATTGTTTAATTTTATTTTGTTTTAAATTATATATTATATTTTTTGTTTTAATATGTTGCTTATTTTTTAATTTGACTTAGTTCATTTCTCGCTTCATTTTATTTCTATTTTTATTTAATATAACTTAATTTAAATTAAATTTCATTTAAAATAATTTAGTTTTTAGTTATTTTTTTATTTTTTGTTTTATTCTTTTTACCTTATTTAATGGTTTTCATTTCATATTGTTTTATTTTACTTTATTTTATTTTATTTTATATATTTTTATTTCATTTGTTTTTTAATTTTCCCCTATCCTCATTTTTCTTATATTTTTTCATTTAATGTCATTTATTTTTCTCATTTCATTTTCTTTGTTTTATTTTATTTTATTTTACTTTATTTTATTTTATTTTATTTTATTTTATTTAATTTTATTTTATTTTATTTTATTTCATTTTATTTAATTTATTTTATTTTATTTTATTTTATTTTATTTGATTTTATTTAATTTTATTTTATTTTATTTTATTTCATTTTATTTAATTTATTTTATTTTATTTTATTTTATTTTATTTTATTTTATTTTATTTTATTTTATTTTATTTTATTTTATTTTATTTTATTTTATTTTATCTTATTAGATTTTATTCTATTTCGTTTCCAACTCACTTGAACATTGTCTGCACTGCGACGATGGTGTTACAATCGGCTAGCGAGTCCTCCTCTGCTGAATTTGATAGTTCTTTGTTCACCACTACAACACTTTCGGCCAACGTAATGCCTGCTCGTAACAGGTCATCCAAGCAATCGATTGAACCTAGCATCCAATAAACCTGAAAGAAATTCGACACACAGAGTTAGTAGGAATTGGTAATTTCATTAGTCATCTGAACTATTAACAGTAAAAAGATCATAATTGTGTATAAGAAGGATCCGCTAGATCTACACTGATGTACGTATTTCTGTTATATTTTCCTAAACGTTTTCATTGAAGGACGACACAGCAAATTGAACTAAGTTTCTAAGTTGATTTTAATTTTGACGAGAAAAGGGACCGTTTAATGTGGAAATGTACACATCACCTGCTTCTAAGGGAGAGTCTGAGGTTTCGTTTGAATAGCGAAGACTTTAAAATTTTTTATTTTGCGTTAAAATATTATTTCCCTCCCTCAACTTGCTAGCTGGCGGTCACCTTATGCAGTATACCCTACTTACCAATGGAAAATAGGAGAGTGCATCCAAAAAGGCCACATCCGGTCGACGTTCCAACAACAATATAATTGGATTCAATGACGTTTTCGAACGAAAATGCGCACGTAACGGTATGATGAAGTTATAAATGCCATTCGATGCATAATCGGCTGCCAGGATAATAGTCTTGTTCTGCCATTGATACTCCTTGGCATTGCGATAGCTGCAGTGCTCGCAAACCTACACACATACATAGAGAAATGTACAAGGTTGAGTGTGAATTTCCACTTTCACATCCACTTGTGTTACAACTTACCTGTGCCAATTGCAGACAACACAATGGCTTCTTCTCCTTGAGCAAATAACAGAGCGTCGGACTGACACCGATGAACGGCGAGACGGGCGGGAAACCCTTAACGATGCTGTAATAGATATGAAAATGGAGATTCATTTTGCATATTATTGTTATTGTTTGATTTGTGTGTGTGTGTGTGTGTTTTAGTGTTTCAGTGTTTTTGAGCATATAAATACTTAATTATTTTATATATATAAATTTTTAAGTAATAAACGCAAACAGCAAGAAGCGTAAATAATTTAAAAAATGGTGGCAATTGGCAAATAACAGTCGCAATGGTTAACTTTTGTTTTCAAATAACAGTAACATCAACAAATGTGCATTTGAACGGAGCAAAGGGAGGATTGTGTGTGTGTGTGTGGTTGATGTCAAAGTAACAAAAACAAATAATTAAGCACTTTTAAGCAATTTCAAACATAATTAGCCACAATGAACAGTGAACTCAATGAAACAAAATAATTTAATTATTCTAAAGCCACTACAGTAAAGCTTCGTCTAACTTAGCATTTTGAGTCCATACATTTTATATGTTTAAAGTAAAATTATTTTTGGTACACCTATTAGATTTAAAATATTAAATATGTCATAATACACTTACATTGGCCAGTTTTTTTAAAATAAATTTAATTAAAATTAACATTTTTAAAATTCTTTTTATTATTAAGAAATTAATTTACATTCTAATTATTTAAATGTTGATTTTCGAATGACCCTAATTTTATTTGACGAAGTAAAATTTGTAGGACCTGGAAAAGTGACCATGAGACAGATACCTAGAATTGGCAGAGAGACCATTTCTCCAGCCTGCTGAAGGGCAGTAAAAGTGCAACACCAAGAGATGGTGTACTCAATTCCACAACTGATGACGTTGGAACAGATGTTTCATTCAACGATTATGAAGATTTCCATATCAGATTTTCATTCAAAATATCATATTCAAAACCGGCTGTGAGGAACTGATAAGGTAGCTGCACCAGCTTCTTTGCAAAATATTGTCGGATGCAAGCATGTCCGATGATGGGAACCTAAATGTGCTCTGCCCAAACTACAAAAAGCGAGGGATAGCACAGTTTTCGCCAGTTACCGTGGGAAAAGCTCATAATATCGCTTATAAGATCCTAATTAAGAAGCACCGTCAACAAATTGATTGGACTTAATCAGTGGAGCTTTACACCTGCTAAAGCAACCATAGAGCCAGTATTCACTATTTGCCAAATCTTGGAAAATATCCGTGAAAAGAGGATCGATACACACCACCTCTTCAACGACCTAAAGCAGCCTTTGACAGTACAAGAAGGAGCTGCCACTACGTCGCTATGTCTGTATTCGGTTTTCCCCACAAAACTTATACGGTTGTGTAAGCTGACGTCAAGCAACACCAAAGTCCGCCAGGATCTGGTAGGACCTGATCGTGGCAATCGATAACAAAAGAGGTCTGATTTCTTCAATTTGATGCTGGTGCAAATTATACGAGTTCCAGATCTGGAAAGAGAATGCAGAAGCTTCGATAAGAGTGTACAGTTTGCCGATAAAATTGACATTATTGGTCTAAACAACAACGCCGTAAGTCCAACTTTCTTCAGACTTGGTAAGGAAGCGTTCTGCATGGAATGGATCTGGTAGTGAACGAGGGCGAAACGTCGTCGCATTCGCTACTCGGCTTCCACGTCACTGTTGACAGTCGCAGCTTTGAAGAATTAGATAACTTCGTCTATCTTGGAACCAGTATAAATACCAACAACAATGTCAGCCTGTAAATTCAATGCATAATCACTTTTGCCAACAGTTGCTAGTTCCGAATGGGTAGGCTATTGAAAAGTAAAGTTCTCTTTCGACGAACGAAGACCGAACTCTGCAAGTGGGTTATCGTTCCCGTCCTGCTATATGATGCTGAGGCATTGGCGATGAAAACCTCTGACGAGTCGGCGTGAGTTGTTCCGGAGAGAACGGTTTTGCGAACGATTTATGATAATTTACAGGTTGTGGGTGGTGAACACCGCCACCGCGGGAGTGTTAGCTATACGAGATCGCCGTTGATATTGACATAGTTCAGCAAATGAAGAGACAGCGCCTACGCTGGCTAGGTCATGTCGTCCGATTGGATGAAAGCACTCCAGCTTTGAAAGTATTCGAAGCAGTACCCACCGCTGGAAGCAGAGGAAGGGGAAGACCTACACGACGTTGGAAAGAAAGACCTGATTGTATAGTAATCATTTCATTTGGCGCTAACCAAAGAAAAGAAGGAATGCACCACTCCTGGTATTGACTAAAGAAAACAAATAGATTTGATGGCTGGCAAAGCAAGTAATCCTCGCATACAATTTAACTTGGTCCTCTCTGCCGTTGATAGATTTTATTTTCACTCTCTTTTCTAAAAAGTTACATGGTAAAATGATGCTCGAAAGAACTGAAAAACTGAGTACCATAAGTGAAAATTAAATGCAGCGTTAAGCGTAATCCACATTATTGCAGTTGGCATAGGTGTTCGTCCGTTCTTAACCGAAGGCCAAGGAAGGATAAGCATAATGAATCGGCTCCAGAAAGGTGTCAGAGTCATCAGATTTTAGCTTCCATCAATAGGAAATTGAATCAGAAATTCAAAAAAAAAGAAAGAAAAAAAAATGGGTTTTTACGATACTTCTGAGCCAATTAAGCTACTAATTTTTGCTCCTGAAGCTACTACTCTGGCTTAATACATTTCCGAATTTAGATCTATCGTTTTACAGGCTCTCGAGAAATAAGATTTTTTTTTATTGATTCACTTTGCTTATCGTCATATGGCCCTTATCAGTTTGAACAAATAATAATATGAAGTCCAATATTAAGAGTAACCCAAGAGAGTGCTGAATGGAGGTAAGCTAAGAAATCAGCGACTTAGAGACTTATTATATTTCATTGGCTGACAAATCGATGTTTTTAAAACATAATTTTTATTCGATTGTTATGGTCCGGTTCAGATGATTTAAAGCAGTATTTTATTTAAAAAAAAAAAAGCTGATTAAAACGTTTATATTGAACTCGGCAACAAAAATTGCCACGAGCATTCGTTGTCTAATATTCTTCAAACTAAAATATCAAAACAGTGGTCTACAAGAGCTGCTTCTGTATGAACAAATATTCTTTTTGCTATCACAGGCATCGTTTTCTAAAATTTGTAAAAATCTGCCTCTGTAAAGAAAGCTAAAAGTGGCAGCTTTTAACTGTGAAAAGAAAAAATACAGTTAAATATTCACGAGCTCTTCAAAAATTATCAACGCCGACTGCAGGAAAAATCACCAACCTCTTTTGGGGCAACCCAATGTAAAGTCGGCGCTTTGTAACCGCTGTAGCGATTTTTCTGCCGAACTCCTCCTCCAATAAATGGAGGGACCTACAGTTCATACTAAACCGTCTTCGAATGGCCGTTAGTTTTTTTATAAGGAGTCTTTATTTCATGTAACTCGGAGGAGCGACCGCAGTTTTGTTAAATCCCGAAATATGCAGGGCAAATTTCGTACAGTAACGGTATTATATAGTCTCAAAACCAGTTGTTTCAGCAATTTCACTTGAATAGAGACACTTAATATGTTTGCATTATCATGATAGTAAAAGTAGAAGATTCGACAATGGGAAGGCAAAAAGGTTCGACGGAACGAGAAAAAGGTTAAATCGATATTTCGTTCTTATTGCTGTCCAAATATTATCGCCAATTAAAATAGAAGCCAAGGGAGGTCTTATTGTAGTAGGAACTACAAAGGTAAATCTATATTGTGAATAACTCTGGAAAAAGATGCACTAAGCGAGGACTGTAAGTTCCATCTAAATAGTTATAATCGCCTTAAATATTAAATATCATGATTTAAGGGGCACACACATAGTGTAATGGCCTAAAAAAGGTGATTTTTGGGAAATTTTATTAAAAAAAATCAATTTTATAAATTATTTCAAAATATAAAGAATATATTTACACATGTTTCAAGAATATACAGTAAAATTTTTGAAGAAAAAAATTAAATATTTTTCAAGTTATAGTCGATCTCCAACGGCGCGAAAAAAAAAGGTTCTTCACTGCAGCAGTGATTTTGGCCTTCTCCGTGGATGAAATCTAAAAAAAAAATTCTCGACTAGATAATATTGTCGCCCAACACGATTAAAGAAAAATCAAAAATTGACAATATGGCGGCGTTTAAAACAAAAATAGTCGAATTTTACCCAAAATTTTGGTCGTTTTTGGCCTGCCAAAACTCGATTTTTTGATCAGCTCAAAAATCGATAGGTCATTGTACGGAGAACTATATATAGAACATGTAAAAAAAAACTCGATAGTAATCGGATTATTTGTTTTTGAGTAATCGCTGCAGCAAATTCGGAAAATGCTGTTTCGAGAAAAACGCGTTTAAAGATAAAATACCGCAGGTACGTCTCGTAGCTAATGAGACTCTCTCCCGCTGCCGAGCGGCTGCTCTTTAAATTGCTATAACTCAAAAACTATTTCAGATATCGATTTGAAATTTTGATATGTTATTTTTAAAGATATAATCTACCGAAATATGAAAAAAGATTTTTTTGAAATTTCACACCAGGTGTGCCCCTTAAGCAATAAAGGTAGGTATTCGAGTCGATACCATAGTCTCCAAGGTAGTTTTATGGTGTAGGATGCAATGTCCCAATATCTCGTATTGAAACTGAGAAATGAAAGTTCAATTTGAAAACTTTTATCTATTTGACAAAACACGGAGCTTATGCGAATACCGTACTATTATTCGAAAACAACAAACAAGGCAAGAAACACTTCTATAGAAATTGTTAAACCAAATAATGTTTTTTCAAAAACAACGATGCTCAGGAGCCTATAGAGAGTTGGTAATTTGCAAAAAAAAAAAAAAAAAAAATTGTTTCAAAAATATATCAGAATCCTAAAATAGTAAAAATTTCAAATTATGGATAACTTGAACATCAGCTCTATATTTTTTAATAATATTTTGAACCGAAATGCACAGCCCTTAACTAGTTCCCAGAGTCACATATCCAGAATTTAGATCAAACGCTTCACAGGTTGCTGAGAAAAAAATTGTGAATTCTTCGAAA